GGGCGATTGATTATCTATCCAAGTCTCGGTTGAGAAGGATTTCTGAATCCTTATTGGTCGAGGTCAACCCATCAGCTTTCTCGGCGAAGTCAGGTGTTACAGTTTATTGGGCTCGGCACATTGCACGTCGAGTTATTTTATGATTGGATACTCTCAAGTGAGATTTAGAGTTCGGCATTTCAACAGCTGAACCGCGTTTATTGTTAAGACTTATATCCGCTTTAAGTATTTGTGGCCTTACACTTTGGTGTCGATTCGACGTGAGTTTACTCTAACGAATACCATCACTGTGACCGAATCCAATGACGACGATTTGTGAACTTTGTAAGAATAGTAGCCTTGTCTTCAGGTTTGAGAACCTAAGAGGCCGAGACGTGTTCCTTCCTCAATTGCAATCGCAAGCCACAGAAGTCAGTCGCGCACCCAATGCAACATCAACACATTTTACTCTTTAGCCGAACTCAGCCGACGAGTTGGCACGCCTTGCATTCAACCGAAGAACGTAGTTAGCTCATAGATTACTCGGACTGCGCGCCACGTAGGCTTGGTAGTTTTTACGGTCAACAGGTTCATTGAATCTTCTACGTTAGGTTTATTGTTCAAAGATTAGGTTCCTTTTGTATTTGTACTATATATTGTTTATTTGTGAATGGATGAAATTTAGAAAACCTTTTTTTACATGATATCACTATAGGTCTAGGCTCTCTCTCATCAGACATCCTCATTGATCCTCGCTGTTCAATCTGATGGCTACCAATTATTCCTCATCTTCTTCCTCTTTCTTCTTTCCCACCTACCTGCCCCAGTTCACTTTTCCGGCCCCAACATAACCAGTTTTCTCAAACTCGATGACACCAACTACCTTGAATGGCTTTGTCAAACGAACTCATTTCTTATTGGCCAAGACTTTTACAAATTTGTTGACAAAACTCGTCCGAAGCCTGCTGCCACCGTCCTCATCATGCAACGTACTGCTCCTGAGTCATTCTCCTCCCTGTATGGTGTTTTCCCGTCCATTGATTCACCTGTTATTATTTCCTTTCCTAACCCAGAACTGCGTATTTGTATCCAACAAGATCAACTTGTGGTGAGTTACATCATCACCACTCTCACCAAGCCCATTATCTCGCTCACTATTGGCTGCGAGACATCTTAAAAAAAATCTAGGATTGTCTCCAACGCCACTTTTCTCAGAAACAGTTGCTAGCTTTGCATCTCTTCAATTTCAACTCATGGACATGACCAAAGGTTCCATATCAACTGATGAGTGCCTGCATCACTCCAAGTCTTTTGCCGATTCCTTGCTGACATCAATAAACATGTTGATCATGAATATTTTTTCAATGCCATCCTTTGTGGTCTTGGCCCCAAATATCTTATACTTTGTATTGCCATCCTTTAAACATGCACCTCATCTGCCAACCTATTATGATCTTCGCCCCGTTTTCTGGCATTTGAATCTCAAGATCCTTATATGAACAATCCCTCTCATTCTTCTTATACTGCTCTTTACATAACCTACCCCAATCCTCCACCCCAAAACAACGGTCCCCCTTCCCCTTTTTCTACACATCACTACCTGTAATGCATATGTAGATCTGTTGGAATTTTATTAGTTTATCTTCACATATATTACAATATCAACTAGAAGCAAAGTGTAAATCAAACCTGAAAAAGCCATTGTAATTGAGTTCGCAGAGAGGTAAGTCTTCTACTCAATGGGGACCTTATGTTCTAACTGGAATAGGGCTAGTTTACTGAACAAGAACGCACATTTTCCCTTGAGCAAGGACTATAGACATGTAACCTCAAACATTTCCTCCTATCACGGAAACAGTTTGATTAAACCCCACATCCATTTGATTTCCAACATGGGATATCCACTCTTTACCATGTTTATCCTTATTGTCCTACTTTAAAGGAAATAATATTTATTCATATATTAAGCCTAATTGATTTCGGCTTCCACTAAACTTAAACCCTGATGTGATAAGTTTAGAGTCCAATAGGGTTCCAGCAATATCCCACTTAGATCTAAACTGATCACTTTCGTTCAAGTAATGTATTCACCAAAATCAATTCCTTAGTGACCACATGAGTTAACAGATGAACAAGCATTTCCTTACACATCGACCATAAGTGATTCAAGGCACATAACTATAGAAAGAACTTGCACAATAATAACACAGTCACTCTGTAATCACTAATACCATGAAGCCAATCATGTATGATGCTTAAACATCTTAGATAAAAGGGAGCCAATTTTCATACTCCCAATGGATAAACCATTTCCTTAGCATTACAGTATCCTTGATGCATTCATGTAAATGATCATTAGCCATCACATGTGTGTGTGTGTGTGTGTGTGTGTACACACTAAATTATTCGTACTCCTGATATTTTGAAAACAAATGAATAATGCAATGGGAAACTATAGGAAATATAGAACCTTATCAGCTAAATCAATAATTATATGCCAATAACTCTCATCAAATGACACATGAATTATCATTTAGCAAGTACTTTAACAACTATTTGCATGAACAAAACAACTATCAAGGCAAATGAAATTAAACCAAACTTTTACTCCCATATAGCTGCTGAATCAAACAAATCCAAGACTCTTATTTTTGCAACATGCACAGCAACTGCTAGTGCCTTAGTAAGTGGGTTTGCTATCATGGAGTTGGTGTCAACATGCTCGATTATCACTAGTTCATTCTTCATATCCTCTCTAACTAAACGATACTTAATATCCATTAACCGATTGGCAATAAACTGCTTGTTGTTTTTGGAAATGAACACAGCAGCCTCATTGTCACAGTGTATCACAATTGGACTTGAGATGCTATCCATGACTCCCATAAGAGTAACCAGATCTTTGATCCACAATGCCTTCTGCGTAGCCTCAAAGACGGCGATATACTCAGCTTGCATCGTGGAGGTTGCAAGTGTCTTCTGTTTAGCACTCTTCCACGAAATGACTCCTGCTAGAAAAAATAAATTACCATTCATGGACCTTTTATCATCCTCACACCCTGCGAAGTCTGAGTCTGAGTAACCTACTACTTCAAGCTTTTCACACTTCTTATACACAAGCATGCACGACTTCGTTTTTGCAAGTACCTCAACATCTTTTTGGCAGCCACCCAACGTTACTCTCCTGGGTTTGACTAAAACTTACCAAGCACACTTATTGAATATGCCAAGTTTGGCATACTTGAGCATACTTGAGCATGCATTAAGCTTCCTACCAAAGATGCATATGGTTTGTTCAACATGCCTTGCATTTCCAATTGATTCTTAGGGCACTGAGACTTGTTTAGCTTATCACCCTTACTCATTGACACTTCACTTCCAGAGCAACAGTCCATATTAAATCGTTTTAAAACATTTTTCAATGTATGCCTTTTGTGAAATTCCTAACAAATTTCTTGACCTATCCCTGATGATCTCAATCTCAAGTACAAAAGAGGCTTTCCTGAGATCCTTCATGTCAAAAGTTTTTGCAACAATGATTTAGTTTCCAATAAAAGATTAAAATCATTGCTTGCAAGAAGTATGTCGTCCACATATAAAATGAGAAAAATAAATCTCGAACCAATGCATTTGAAATAAATGCAATCATCAACCGTATTTTCAATGAAACCAATTTATGTTACCTTTTGATCAAACTTCATAAACCATTGTCTTGATGCTTGCTTCAGCCCATATATCGATTTGCTTAATTTGCAAAGCAAATGACCCTTTCCTTCTTCTACAAAACCAAGAGGCTGCTCCATGTAAATATCCTCTTCAAGATCACCAAAATATTCCCCTCCTCTATCCGATCTCAAAACCTTTATTGTAGTGTCCAATTGGTTTTCAATTTCTATTATAAAAAATTTAAAACAATTTGGGACTTGTGATTTTTCTGAAATTAAAAATTCATATCCATATCTTGAAAAATCATCTATAAATGTTACAAAATACACATTTCCACATATTATTTTTGTGGGAAAAGGACCACAGACGTCAGAATGGATCACTTCCAACAGTTTTTGACTCCTTGTTGAATTCTTCTTTTTAATTTTTGTCAACTTCCCTTTGCAACAATCCATACAATCATGTAGGTCGGTGAAATTTAAATCAGGCAAAATATTTTCTTTCACCAAACATTGCAATCTTGTTTTAGATATATGCCCTAATCTTCTATGCCAAAGCATGGAAGAAAAGTCATTTGATAATGGTCTTTTAACTTGCAGTGAAGAATCAATATTATAACAATTTAAATAATTCAGGTGCAATCCAATTTCCAAAGATCATTGTCTAAAAGACATTGAGCAAATAATTCATATCATTCTTGATACATAACCTTATGCTCTCATCATCTCCGATGAAAGCAAAACCATTCCTTACAAGTTTTGAAGCAGAAACTAAAGACCTAATTAATGAGGGAACATAAAGAACATAAAAAAGTTCTAAAATAAAGCCAAAAGATAGTCTAAGCTTGAGGTTGCCTATTGCTTCCACAGCTATTTTATTTCCATTCCCAGCATGCACTTTGAAAACTTCATTACTTGTTGACGATCTTCTTGAAAAGCCCTGCAAGGAATTGGTAATATGTATCGAGCAGCCAATGTCAAACCACCAAGTATTTGGAGGAGCCTCAACAAGTAAAGTTTGAAAAAAAAACAAAAACGTTGATAATTTTATTACCTTTCTTCACTACCCATTTCTTTCTTTTCTCACAGTCTTTTTTCAAATGTCCCAATTGTTTGCAAAAATAACACCTCACTTTTTCCAAGTTCACCTTATAGTTTTGAGGTCCTCTAAAGGAGGAAGGAATATTGGCAACAACATTAGAGGTAGTATAAGGCTTAGTTTGCTTACCAGTGTTCACCATTGGCCTTTTACAGCATTGAAGTTGACCAAATTCACAGTTCAGATTTGGTCTTGCTCAGTCTATTCTCCTCTTGTACATAAATAAATATCATCTCGTCAAGGATCCACTTCTCCTTTTATGTGTTGTATGATATCTTGAGTTGTTCAAATGATTCAGGTAGTGATGAGAGTGCCATATGGACAATAAAAGAATCATCAAGTGGCATCTTGAGATCCTTCAGCTTGGCTGTAGCGTCTACCAACTTCAAAATGTGCTCACGAACACTAGTTTTCCCATCGAACTTGAGTGATGTCAGAGTGGTCATCAAGTTACCCATTTCAGCATTCTTAGAAACCTTAAACTTTGCACCCATAGCCTCTAGGAAGTCTTTCGCCTTCTCGCACAGTGGAATCCCACCTCTGACGGTCTTAGTGATTGACTTCTTCATCTCTATAAGAGTCATCCTATTGGATTTCTCCCACTTTTTAGCCTTCATCCTTTGCTCATTAGTGCTGTTTTCAGTCACAGCAGGTGGCTGGTCTTCCCTCAATGCAAGATCGTAATCCATCAGTCCTAGCATGATCTCAACATCTTGCTTCCACTTCCTAAAATTATGTCCATTCAAGGGCTCGATGGAGGAGAAACTTAGAGCATTCGAATTCACTGAAGAAGCCACTAAAAACAATCAAATAACTTCATTGAAAAAATAATCAATCACAGATACATGTAACACCTTTGGGCAAGATACACGACTACATTTTATGCATATGGTCTGATCATGCATCCTTATTGTATTGCCTTCTTAAATAGACAACTAAAATTCTAATCTTTGGACGAGAAAATAGTTGGCTCAAAGACTAACTAAAAGCCTATACACTGATTAATAAAACCAACCAATTAACTTAGTACCCTTTGGAGTATAATGTTATTATGTCATGTATTACGAATCACTCTCCATGCAACCTCCTTAATAAACATTTGTTTTAATGGTTTATCAACATGATTTCCTTTAAATGATAATGAAGTTTGATTTCATATCAATTTGTATCAACTTTGCTCCTGAAGAAGCACACTCATGAAAACACGACTTAGTCATCACAATAAACAAATAGTACATAATGAATCTATGAAGAGCTAAGACATGCTCTGATACCAAATGTTGGAATTTTATTAGTTTAGCTTCACATAGATTACAATATTAACTAGAAGCAAAGTGTAAATCAAACCTGAAGAAGCCATTGTAACTGAGTTCACAGAGGTAAGTCTTCTACGCAATGGGGACCTTATGTTCTAACTAGAATATGGCTAGTTTACTGAATAAGAACATTCATTTCCCCTTGAGCAGAGACTGAACCTTTATAGACGTGTAACCTCAATCATTTCCTCCTATCACGGAAACAGTTTGATTAAACCCCACCTCCATTTGATTTCCAATGTGGGATATCCACTCTCTACCATGTTTATCCTTATTGTCCTACTTTAAAGGAAATAATATCTATTCATATATTAACTCTAACTAATTTTGGCTTCCACTAAACTTAAACCCTGATGTGATAAGTTTAGAGTCCAGTAGGGCTCCAACAAGATCTCCCGCAATCTTGTTAATTCTCAATGCAAAATATAAGCCAAAAAATATGAACCTCACGTTCAGTGAAGAACATTAGCCAAAAATATAGTTGAAGAAGCCATTGTAAATGAGTTCACAGAGGTAAGTCTTCTACGCAGTGGGGACCTTATGTTCTAACTAGAATATGGCTAGTTTACTGAATAAGACCATGCATTTCCCCTTGAGCAGGGACTGAACCTTTATAGACGTGTAACGTCAATCATTTCCTCCTATCACGGAAATAGTTTGCTTAAACCCTCCATTTGATTTCCAACGTGGGATATCCACTCTCTACCATGTTTATCCTTATTGTCCTACTTTAAAGGAAATAATATCTATTCATATATTAACTCTAACTGATTTCGGCTTCCACTAAACTTAAACCCTGATGTGATAAGTTTAGAGTCCAATAGGACTCCAACAAGATATCCCGCAATCTAGTTAATTCTCAATGCAAAACATAAGCCAAAAAAATATGAACCTCACGTTTAGTGAAGAACATTAGCCAAAAATATAGTTGAAATGGCAGAAACAACATGCACCATTTCTGCCTATGTACGATAAGTCTAATCTCATATACATTTTAGTTTTATTGTATCAAGCACAACAAAAACTTGAACTCAGAGCAGTTGCTTATCAAGCTTCAAAGATATATGAGGTAAAGAACAAGACTCAGGATCATAAAAACATGTAAACACGAATATCTTGTGACAAATGACAAGAGAACACGTGTACAAAATAATTTTATATTAATGAATTTGTAGGGTTACAATCTCTTTACAACTTGATCCTCTGAATCGATCTCCGAAATGCGTAGATGTGTAGTGTTGTTGATCCAAGGGTCACAATGACTTGATCTTGGATGAATGAATGCCACAAGGTTTTGGCTCTTGGCAATGGAGGAGCTAGCACATGTAGGGGTGCTTGGTGGTTCTTCTCGGGATTTGACGAAGAACACGAAGGGTTTTCCAAGTCTTCTTGAGTGTTTGAGTGTTCTGGTGGTTTGAGTGCTTTCAAAGCATCAGCGTCTGGGCATGAAATAATTTTCGGATCCCTTTCTTTGTCTTAGAACCTCCTATTTATAGACTCTCCAAGCCTTGACTAAGGATGGATTTGGCCTTGATTGTGGGCTTGATTAATTGACGAAAGAACCAGTACTCTATTTGTGGGCCAATTCGTGATTTGACTCCATCAATTAACATCTGATTTAACTAAATAAAAATCAAATAATTCATTTCTGCTAGATGTTGACATATGTCATTCTTGATGACTCGTTCGATTTGGATGAGTCATATCCATGTGTATGATTTTGTGAGACACGTGGTGCATGCCACGTATGCCCTGGCACATTGAAACTTTAATCGTTTGTGAACATTTATTTCACCGAAATTTTGATATCTACAAAACGAATTCAAAATTTGCTATCATATGAATTAATGAATTTTAGCTGACAATTAAACTGAGTTCCAACACTGCATTCTTGTTTTTGCAGAAAATCCAAAACAAGAATGCAAAAACACAAAAGAAGAAAAAGACAATGTGGGACTTTTCTGTCTATAAACCACATCTTGCAGACTATCTATTCGATGATCTATATTCTAATTAAGTAGATAAACAAATGTACGATCGAGCACTAGGAAAACATTTTGTAACTTTTGGCTTGCATAATAATTTCGCGTGCTCCTCCTATGGGTGAAAAAAGAGCCAGCAGCACGCCCACCACGATCGAAAACTGAAATCAAACACAAAATAAAACATGTGGAGTTTAGCTCTTGCATAATATAAAAAACTTAAAAAACCATAATAATAGTTTGATAAAATAAACATAGTATGTCACTGAAAAACTAGCTAATATTTTATGAACATCACTCAATTACGCATTGAGATTTGACATGCGCATATGTGTGATGCGCAACGTGTCCGCATATGTGTGATGAGCATGAGAGAAAGTGGGTTTGTGAACATACCCATGAGGCCCACCAGTGCATACTAAATCTTTTTGGTTTGTGAACGACAATCCACATAACGCAAGGCATCTGCACCAAATTCAATTCAGCAACTTAAATGCTACACCTATACTAATTACCAAGATAAATACAATGTTAAATAATCTGTGTCGTTGTTTCATCAATTGAGATTGTATATGAACTTACGTAATAAGATGTCGAGGAGAACACTAAACCTCCAAATAGTCCTAACAATCCTCCAAAAAATGGAATGCACATTGCAATGAACCCTGCTACGACTGTAAAAAGTTTCAAGAAAATCAAACATCATCTATTCACAAAAGATGTCACATATTTGAGCAAAAAGAGTAAGAGATTGGTCATAAATATACCGGCCAGTAGTAGTTTTATTATTCATAGAGAGAATGGTACTTACGTACGTACGCACTGCGAGCAATGAAACGCAATAGTAATCCTGGCTTGAAACGTAAATTATTTACTAAAACTGACTCGATCAGATCAAACACAGGCATTGCAAAGACCTGAATATATATATAATAAAAAATAAGGAAGCATTAGCAATTAATTAAGTAGTTAATTGATAATGCCGTATAACTGTCTTAATGGTATATAATAATGTATGCATGCTTTTACTAGTTATAAGTGTGTGTTTGTTCAATTACCTGATAGCTTCCTATAACATGGAAAAACACCATTAGGTTAGCGGCTGCGATGAGCCAAGCAGGTTTTTCTAGTGAGATGAGAACATCATCCTCTACAGTATTGCCAAAAGCCCAAAAGCCAGAGATTGCAACTGCAAGATAGAAAAATATTACGATGACGTAAGCCACGACAACGCCTCTCCACATTGCAATTCTTGAGGGTTTCTCTGGAGTTGAAGGGATTGTGGCTTGAATCTCTAAAGCCACGCTGTGTCCGGCAAAAGCAAATGCTATTGTTCCTAATCCACCCAACATATCAAATACTTGGCTTGGTGTCGTATGAGATCGAAGCGAATGATCAACATGCTCGTGGTTTTTCACACCCATGATTGTCGATGTCACAAATGCTATCATCGCGTAACTGCATGCAACAAATATATAGCATTATCATCAGAAATAACTAAGAAATGAATGATTAAGAAGGAAGGAATATATACCCGCAAGACATGAGTGCCGCGAGGAGAGAAATTCCTTTCAGAGAATTGAAATTGGGAGATTGGGAGAGCCCTAATTGCAATACAGTAAAGAAGAGGATAAAATATGTTTGTCTAATATGGCCTATGCTTGGAACAACGAGTTCGAAGAATTTTTTCAATGACTTGCCACCAGTGACTGTATACACAATGCATGAAGCCACCTGCACAGTCATCTGCTGAGGCATGATAATCCAGTACCCTAGTTTTGGCCCAAAACAATGCTGCCCTAGTTCCGGGTATCGATCAAAACGCTGCCCGGGTACTATTTCATGCAGTCTAATCAGTTGCCAGAATGAGTAGAAAGTGATCACCCATGACAAGAAAATGGCTGCAATTCCAGGGCCCCTGAACAAATAAATATCAACGTACCATAAGATCAAACGTAAGTATCTCGAAATTTTATTTAGTTTATATGTAGTATATATATTAGCAAGAACTAAATTTCGTACTCGTGTAACTATATATATGTATCTATATATATAATTTTTTTTTTAATATATAGAAAGAAGAAGAATACATTACCAGCCACATCCTGATAATGCATACGGTAAGCCCAGTATTCCTGCACCAACAACAGCCGTGACATTGTGGAAAGCTGAGTACCACCATTTTGCATTCCTGTCAGCAGTGATGGGCAGCCAGTTATTTATATCGAGTTGCTCTTGGGCCCTTCTAGCTGCTTCATTTTCATTCGTAGTGTTTTCCTGGATTTTAGTTGCATATATACAAATATATATTAGGTTCGTTTACGAACAGCCATCAAGATACAAAGTAGAAACCCAAATGTAAACTAGCTAGATATTGATCTAGTGGAATTATGAGTATATCATAGATAGATCAATGAATCGGCATTCACATATCGGGCCGCTTCCCCGGATTTGGATTTCATAGCAACATTAAATTGTGTATTGTGATTAGCAAAGTACAAAAGATTGCCAGAACAAAACAAATGTGTATATTTTGATGAATCTCATAAACATATGCACTTACCGCTTGAGCACTTGATTGATGTAGGTCGGTCATTGTGGTAGATTGATTAGCTAGCTTGCCAAAGAGAGTTAGTGTCAGAAGTATAGTACTCTGGGGAGCTTAAATACTAAAATTTAGATAGAGTGGAGTCTGCATCTTTGAGATCCTAATTTGTTGGGTGTTGAATTAGTCGTGGAGTCTAAACTACAGTGTTGTGGTGAGCTGAGCAGTGCATTGGAGAAAATAAAGGAACAACCAGATCAGCCTTATCTGATGTAATTATATGATTACAATGAAGTGATTAATCACTCCATTAGGAAATAAATAATTATCGTAATCAAATATCTTTCATATTTTCTAGCAATTTGTCCATGATCTTTGCCTTGTAATTTGTTTTGCAAAATTGTTGAATAATTACACTCGCACATAATTCCTCAGCATTTTGATTAAAAAAAAAACCCTAGCTGTAATAACCAAATTAAAAGAAAAAATAGAGAAAACCCTAGACACAACAATTTTT